GTGCTGTGTGTTTCTGTTTTAGAACACTCAGGCCATGAATTAGAACAACTCTCTAGTTTTGACCTCCAGAGAAGTTTTCTTCTTTTGGATCACTCAGATGGAAAACATGGGCTGATTACAGTCAAGAAGATGGAGCAGGAAACGTTGTTTTTGCAAAACAGAATATAATTACTGTCACAAGAATCATATGAGATCCCTTCCCACACCAGGAATTTGGCTCCTTGAAGTAAATAACAAGGTCTGCCTTTAAAAAGGACTGTTGTGTGTTGTGTGCTTTACAAATGAGATAAGTGTCATCATACCCATTTCTACAGATGGAGATGCTGAGGCACAGAGGGTGAAGAGGTTATTTGTCCTGCCTTTCCGCAAGTCAGCAACAATACTGGAAACTGAACCTGATCTTTCTGTGTCCTATTCCAAAGCTCAATCCATTAGGCTGTTAGCGCTTACAGAAGACCTTTGTGCTGCTACTGGTTGCTAGTCATGCAGAGTCTCTATTCCCAGATTCACTTCACTTTATTCCCCCAGCTCTCCCCTTTCTCTTTGATTTTAGATGTTTCCTCTTCTGTTGCACTGTCGAGCACTTTTCTTCATGAACAGCCCTGCATTTTCCCTTCCTTTTCCCTGTCCCCTCAGTTTCTCTTATGTTGCTAATTATTCAGACTCTATTTTGGTTTATAAAATGTACTGCCAGACCTTATCTTAGTGTCACAGTGGTGTCCTGAAGACCCTGACTGAGCAGTGATGTGCCTGTGTCTAGGTGTCATACAAATGCAGAATTCTGCAGAAAGGTAAAAGAGCAATAGCAGTAGCAGTGACCCAGCTCCAAGTAGTACCAGTATCTCTGAAATTCAGGCATTTTGAAATACAATCTGTGTGGCCTGTTGCCTCATTTGTTTCTGCTGCCCTGGATGTTACAAGCTGCTGGGCCTGTGAAGCTCTTGAAGGGTTAGGCGTTGGGATTATCAAGAACTCATTTGGAATGGAGCCTGGCCTTTTATTCCTTACCCTCCCTCCCCCCCCCAACCTTCATCTAGAAAGAGGATCAGTTGCATAGTTCATATAGTTTAATTATAGTTTAATTGTTAAGTCAGATAAAGTGTGTTCAAATGGGTGGAAGTCATCTACGTTGCCATTGAAAGGTTATCAACTCCATAATACGCATAATCACTCCTAACTTCAATCTGACTACATCAGGTACAGCTGACTGTGAAGCTGTGGCAGCCAGCTCCAGATGAGCTGGCTCTCTGAGTCATTCCTCGTCGGTGGGCTCATATTGCCTTTGTTGTGGTCACTAACTTCATGGCTTCATGGCTGTTTCTGTCAAAGCACCTCTTAGATTAAAGCCAGCTTTATAAATCCCCCCACACTGTAATGACCTGTATTTGTATTGTTTTAGAGACATGTAAAAGATGTTATTTTGAAATCACTTTAATCTGCTGATTTTAAAATTTATTTTCAAAAAGGCTATCAAGCTAAAAGTCTTATCAGATGAACCAAGCATGGTCATTTGTCTGTTTAAAAGGAGAAACTGCATGCCAAGGAATATGACCAAAATTAAGTTGCAAGGAATGTAGGAGTTCAGTGCTGGTATGGATGGAAGATGATTGCTATGTTTATACTCCAGGATTTTAAAATTAAAAATTTATTGATTTTTTTTCTAAATTTTTGGTTAAACTTTCCAGATTGCACTCTCTTCCTTTATTTAATGTGCCGTAATTAACTGCTCTTTTACTTTTACTGCCCCAGTCTAGAGGGAACTCTTCCTTTCCTCCAAGTTTGTCAGTCGTTTGTTTATTATATCCAAATTTACTTACCTCATTATAGACAAACCAAACCGCAGATTCATAAAACATGCATCTGACTGCTGTTACTCACCATAACATTCCAATTTACCCAAAATGGAATTTTAATAATATTAATGAAGTGTTACTCTAAAGCTATTCAGTTAGCTTGGCATTTCAATTTTCGATTTGAATTCAGAAGCTTTTCAGGTCCTTAGCTTCACTTATTACATTCCATTTCCAGTTCAAGAGTATTGCTGCTGTTGTAATTGGACCTGTCTGAGTCAGGGATGTATTGCAGTAGATGGCATAATACCACAGATAACAAAAAAAAAAAAAAAAAAGACGCATATTGTGAAGATTTGAGTCATTGATGGCTTCAAGGTCAAAACAGGGGCTCAAGATTTTTTATTATCGCTTTTTACTGCTTTTACAGTCCTTCTCCCTGCCTCTGTGAGTACATGGGATTGACTTTGCAGACTTCACTGTTTTTCCTATGCAGGGAAAATTAAGATTGAACAGTACTTGATTTTCTTGCTTTGCAAATGAGCAGCTCTTGCATGAGTGTATCTTTTCTTTTTAAAGGTCAAGTACATATAAGTCTCAAGGGATTGATGTCACAGTTAAGTACACTCAAGGAAGCTGGACTGGAATGTTGGGTACAGATGTCATTACTATCCCAAAAGGAATTAATGGCAGCTACACTATCAACATTGCTACCATTCTTGAATCAGAGAATTTCTTCTTGCCAGGGGTTAAGTGGCATGGGATTCTTGGTCTTGCCTATGATGCATTAGCCAAGGTAAGTCGTCCTTTCCCCAGCTTTTGTCTTTCACAGTGACAATGAATAGTAAGGTAAAGAGAACAAATGATCTGTCAGTGTTAGACTCCTCCCTTCCAACCAGTCTTTGCTAAGGATCCTTTGTATTTTGGTAAATTCCAGAAAGAATAAATGGGGTTGTGATGATACCACAGTCCCAGAAGAGGATTTAGGTATTTCTGGTGATGTACGCTCCAATTTTAGCTCATCTGGAATGGATAAGCATTTACAGAGCTTGTAGTACCAGAGCGTAGGAGTAAAGGTTACCAGGCTTCTGTTATGTGTATACAGGGCATTTATTAGGGCTCTAATGAGCTCCCTCAAGACTTGTCAAAGGATGGATGAACTTACATGGCAAACCCCATGGCAGCTAATTCTACAAAATTCTTCATCCATCAAGTAAAAGTTGAGACTGAGAGCGCATACGGATAATTTCAAAACAAAGATGAGCTCTGGTGTTTTCGTGAACATGTGATGAAACATACCTGTTCATAGCGAGGTAGGAAATTCAGGTAGAATTCTCAGCTAAAGCCTAAAATTTATTATCTAAAAATCATATATTTTTTAAAAACTGAAAATGTGACTGGAACCCCATATAGTCATAGCTCTCGACCTACACAATAACTGTCTAAAAAATCTACAAACTGAGACATATCCCGGTACAACAAGCAATTCAATACCGTCTGCTGACTTTGGTGTTAAAATGCTTTATTCAAGAGCTGGGTGATCATTGTACTGACTTCTGCCTTACTTGCTGTCATACATTGTCAACAGGCAGAGAACAGCTGCTTCTCGAGTTCAGGTTCTGCCGAACAGTGGCATTTATTTTCCCCTTCCTCTGAAGACTGAAGTGTTTCTAGCTTCTGAAGCTGCTCAGTACTTTGTGTAGTAAGAGCACTTGGCATGTCGCAAGCTAACCAGTGTCTCTATGTGAAATGAGATATATCTGCCCAAAAAAATCAGTTACAGCGGAATTGTAATATGTTAGTAATTGCAAAGGCAAGCGTGGCATACGCTGTAGGAGAGAACCTGTTAGCAAATATAATCAGTTGAACTGGGTGTGCTTTGATATTACGTCCTTTAAAAGAAGGAAGAGGAAGTAAGTGCTGTAGAGTACCAGGTTCATTAGAATTAGACTATTTTATTTTAAAACCTGAAATTTTTCCCTTTAAAATTCTGCCTTTTAACCATAGAAAGGTGGGAAGGGCAAGTTATTTTTCACTGTTCTAATAACCAGAAGCTATTTCCAAACAGTTACATTCTTGGCAAAAGTTTCTTCTTGAACCTGTAACTTGTATGTGAAAGCTGCGATTAGAAAAATACTCTCATGTGTTAGGGATTTCTATGGCAGTGGTCAAGAATAAAATTTTTTTTTAAATAGAAAATGAGAAATGACAAGGTTTTTTAATGACTTAATATATTTAGGATTTTCATCACTTGGTTGTCAGAAATTCAATTTACTCCTGAAAAGTGGTCTTGTTTGAATGATTTGCTCATTTCTGCATCCAAGCTTTTTAATGATTGCTTCTGCAATTTTTGTGTGTTTTGTTTTGTTTTTCAACATCCTCAAGCCTTCAAGTTCTGTGGAGACGTTCTTTGATTCTCTTGTGAGGCAGGCAAAGATCCCCAACATCTTCTCCTTGCAGATGTGTGGTGCTGGACTACCTGTTTCTGGAAGTGGTACCAACGGAGGTAGTCTTGTGGGTATCTGTCAGTCTGAGAGGGAAAACGTATATTTGTTAATCTCTCTCCTTTTCTATGACTAGCTTACTTTTTCCAAATTTAATATTAAATATATGAAATGTTTTGTAATTTTGAAGGAAAAGTTAAGCACTTAGGAAGAACTCAATTGCCTATTTGTTTTCATTCTCCATTCTTTTTTCATCTCTCTTGAGTCTGAGTAAACTTCTCAATTCAAATTTGATTTTAATAAAAAAGTAAATGTTGTGTTGCACATCTGTTACTGATGTGATTCCTTCAGGACAGATTCTGGTACCTTCCTCAAGCTGAGTAGTGTTGCACTCAACTGCTAAGCTTGTTCAAGCTCATAAAAAAATGCTACAGTAAATTTTTTACATGAGGTAAAAAGGGGAGGAAGAATCAAGACCTTTTTCTTTGCAGACAACATACCAAAGGAAAGTGTCTGAAGACCAAATCTTCCCCTTGTTAATTAGGGGAGTTATTCCATCAGTTTTAGTGACACCAAGATTTGGCCTGCATTTATCTGGGATCATGATTTGGAATTACACTTCCTGAATTATGCTGAAATAAGCATATCAGCACAGGGAGTTAATCACAAATAGCTATTTTGCTGTAAATTCACATACTGCTGTAAATATTGACCTACCTGAGATAGACAAAGCCCAAGTGTGTACTCACTCATGTTAGTTCAATTAGTTCAGTCCAGACCATCAAAATCTGATGATCTAGTATGTTCGCAGCCAGCTTAAATGTAAGTTTTGATAGAAGATAATAGTGGTAGCAATAATATGATGGTTATTTTCCATTTTGGATGGGTTTAAGAAAAATTAATTATTTTTAAACAGTGGTAGGCTTTTCTGAATGTACAAAGTGAATTTATCATGTGCAAGTTTAATATTCTCTCCTCTTTTTTATACGTTGCCTAGATTAAGCCACTGAAGATACTCTTTTAATTTTAAACAGTGGAGCTTTCATAAGAAAATTACTGTGACTTTGTAGAAGATGCTGGTAATCTGATCCAATATGGGAATTCTGGTTTACTGAAGCAAGAATCTTTTAACATCTAGATGTTTCCTATAGTTGCAAAATGCATATCACTGATATTATTGATTAAGAATTGATAGCATTTGTCAGCAAAATCCTTACAAATGGTGTTAAATTAAAATTTTGAAGCCCTGTGTATTGCAGTTAAATATTCTCCTTTTTTTCTGTACTTGCCCCAAACCTAAACATCCTGGATTTTAAAGTGTGTGAATTCCTTTCTCTTTTTGCCTCAGGTTCTGGGTGGAATTGAACCAAGTCTGTACCAGGGTGATATCTGGTATACGCCTATCAAAGAAGAGTGGTATTATCAGGTTGAAATTCTCAAGCTGGAAGTTGGAGGTCAGAATCTCGAGTTGGACTGCAGAGAGGTATTTGCAATAAGGTGTCTATACAAAATACAAATTTGGTTAAGAAAAATAGTTAATTTGATCAGTTTTGTCTTTGCAAGCAGATGTGTATTGCAGTCTCCTCTGAGATTTAAGGTCGCGTGATAACTTTGAAGAGAAATGAACGAGCGATATAAAATGTAGTGTATACTTCAAACATGCTAAAATTGCTTCAAACCGGACTTTGAAGTTGTTGATATATTTGTAGCCTAGTCCACAATTTATTGAAAATACTAATTGAACAGTCCACTGAAAATGAGAGTGCTGTGATTTGGAAGGGCTTACCCTCTAGACTAGTTTCTGTTGTAAAAAAGGTGTCCGTACACTGAAGATTGTACATTCCTTCAAGGAGACAGCAGTCTTTAAATAACCAAAATTTATAGCCATAGCTATACGGCTGTTAAACAGCTGTTTATAGCTGTTACAAAGTAAAATCAAACGAAAGTGGAACAGTAATTGTTTAACAAAGAGAAGGGAAGATTTTGGACTAACACCTATGGAGATGTCTAAGCACGTAATTCATGATGGCAGTTGGCAGGTGCCATCCTGGGAAGCTTCCCAAAACACCTCATCCCATCCTTCTTTTTTATTTTTGTAATCCATTTTTGCTCACTTCAGCCTTGCCAATTATTATTCTTCATGGATATGTTTATTGTTTTTATCGGAAATAAAGTTCTGTTATCTCTGGATCAGTCTAGTGAAGCTGTGTTGTTAATGATTTTTATTCTCAAACATTTTTTTTCTGGAGGATGTGTGTATATGTATGTTTTGTTTGTTTTTTTACTATTGCTTGTTGCTGTTCGTGTTTCAATTTTAGTGCTGTGATTTTCATGCCTTATTTTCATTAGACAGCTTAAAATACCTTATGCTTGTTCTTGTAGTTGGAAATCTGTGGAGCATGATAATTCTGAAGTTTTTAAAGTTCATACGGATTGAGTGAAAGTAATGATAAAATCCTACATGTGCATAAATATTATATTTCAGTACAAAATGTGGAAATATTTTATATTTCCATATAAAATATTTAAAATCACTCATATCCTCCTTGTATTTAATAAGCAAAACATGGTCTATTTCAAAAGCTATTTCTATCTTTATTGTATTGTTCAGAAAGCATTGCTCACTGCTAGGTCTCTAGCATAAATGTTTGTGTTTGCTTTTCTTTCTTGCCTTAAAAAAACAGTCAGCATATTTTGACGAGAAGTCGAGGTACTAATGACCATGGTACTAGTAAACATGGTTTAATACTTGCTGTTTCCAAAAAAACAAACCACTTAAAAATCTAGCAATTATGAACGTTTCCTGTTATTGCAGCCCTTTTCTAAGCCATGGTTTGCTTTCACCTTGTGTGTATTAGCATAGTGTGCTCCTCAGTGGTACAGAAGGCATCATTCTTTTCTTGATTGAAGGAGGTCTTCCAACAAAAGTTTAGAGGAACAGTAGTAAACTTAAGCCTAACATGATTAAAAGTTAGCTAGTTAGGAGCTTGCAGAGGGTGTGTAATTCACTGTACAGGATGATGAGCTATGTGCCCTCTCTTTTCTTAATCGTCTTCTAGGAACTTGAACGTTTTTTTGTTAGAGTGACTAGAGACTACTCCTTTCCTTGGAAGGGAAAAGCTTCAATGCTGGGAATTTGTCCAGTATTACACTGCAGCTGTGGCCTTGATCCTGTCAGATCAGGGTCGAGAGAAGTGTTGAGGTGCCAATAGTGCACAGTGCACGGGGGGCACTGTTAAATATTAATCAGGAAGACTAAGAAGGCAAGAGCTTACTGCACACTGAGAGTACACTGTACACAGTGTGAAAAATTATGTGACACTTAATCACTCACTGAGTGATGCTCCTGCTCCAGAAATTTTACATGATTTTTATGTTAGTGGATGGTCGTCTTGGCTGCCTCCTACCTACGTTTTTCCAAGGGAGCCTCTCAAGGATGCTGGTGATTGAGTGTTCGTGGTATAAATATGTTAAAAATGGATTCTGTTTAAGAATTCTTAAAAAAAAAAAAAAGTGGCCACAATGCCTTGATATTTTTCTCTACTGTTTAGAAATATTTCTAAGTACAGAATAAATGGTAAGTGGTTCATAGCAGTGCTCTTCCAGTCTGCATTTCTTTCAGCAGCGCTTAACAGCCTACAGCATCTCTTCTTTCAAAAAGAAAATAACTGAGTTACTTTTCTGCTTATTGTTGGGTTTTATTTTTATCACAGCACTAAAGATATTCCCTGTGACTTGGTAACATCTAAACTGATGGATTTTAAATTAGCTTGCCATTTGACCTCCTCCTAATAAGCTTATGCTGTATGTTTTCTTGTGTCTTTTGATTATGCCATAAACATGTCAGTGTCGAGTTATACTGATCCTACCACCTCAGCTCATAACAAAAGTAGTTAATGCAAACAAGTGCCACTGCTACCTGCCTTTTTTGTAATTAATCATCATTTTTAAAGGATTTCTGAAAAAAGATTTGCCTTTTAAAATATTTATCTTTTGTGTAATGTACCAGAATTGTGAAGATATCTCTTAATCTGGGGGTTGGGATTTCAATAATGAAAAGTGTGTTTAGTGTTTTGGGGGGGGGGTTTTAGTACAGATAAGGCAAGATTTGAGGCAGTAAGATTGAAATTTGCTAGTTTCTTTATAGGTGCCTTTGCTTGTGTTTTAGTGGTTTTCAGAAGTGGGGAGAGAGGGGGGTAGCATTTGACATTTGTACTTCGAGTCAGTGCCAAATATGACATGTAGCAAGGACCAATGTTTCCTGACTATTTATAAGTTAGATACACAGGTCATTAAAAATAGTCTGCTCTATTACATTTAAACTAGCAGAGACTTTGATTCAGGGTTTGGACGTGCATGTAAGCTACATCAGTGTACTTACCGTGTTTCTGCGCTGACCATGAGAGTACTTTTTGCCCAAGGCATATATGAGGTAAGGTGGATTAGCTTCACCTCTGGGAGAGGCCATGCTTTACTTCCTTTTACAGCAGGTTGAGAATGTGAGCCCTTGGCCCTTTTCAGTAGCTCTGGTGACACACTGCAATTTCTTGAGTGATGCAGATAAACTCACTCTTGTGTCCAGGCTATGTCTTGCTTTTGTTCTCAGACTTCATTTGAATTTAAGCTATCAGCTGGAGAGTTCTGCAAAATGATGTGACATACACATTTGTGAAGACTGCTACTGAAAAGGAACAGCCTGGTCATTGTTATGAAGCAGTTTAATCTGCATTATATTAATTATAGTGTGTGTAATTTCTCTCCTTTTTTCTCCCCCCTTAGTATAATGCAGATAAAGCAATAGTAGACAGTGGTACCACCCTCCTCCGGCTGCCACAGAAAGTCTTCAGTGCTGTCGTGCAAGCCATAGTTCGCACATCCCTGGTAAGCTAATGTGATTAAACTCTCTTGTAATCTTAAATTCCTATTAAATGATCACATGATCTTTGAAAGGAGTGTCATCTTTGCCATCTACCTTTTAAGTCACAGGGTTTTGACCTGAGTGGGACTGAATTTTTCCCAGTCTGCCCCTGTTACTAAATAAGAACTGACTGATTGTCTCTGGTGGAAATGGAAAAGGGAAGGAGAGGTGGGAGGAGGGAGGGCCATACACAGAAAAGAGAAACCTGTATGGAAGTAGGTCAGAAATAGTGCATAAATGGAGTATTTTGTTCTAAGCATTTCAGAAATACAGACACAATCTCTATCTCTCCGATTCAAAGTGTGAACGGTGCAAAAATCAGTCCTCTAATTCAAAATTGAGTGTTCCTAAAGTAAACCTGATACTGCAAGCAGTTACTTTCCAGATGAAATACTTATTGTTATATAGAATGCATGCCATTCATTAGGATTATTCATATCAATAAAGCTTCTTTTGGCCTTCGTTATTGAATTATTTATGTTTAAAAGCTTCTTTCTTTGGAAATAGAGTGGGCTTTAGAAGTAGGGCATGGGGATAGTGCCCTCTGTGTGTAAATTAGCTGATGCTACATTTTCTGGGTAACAACTGTTCCTAAGTTTCGGTAGAATGCAATGAGGAGTGTTGAGAAAGTTGAAGATGAAGAGTAAATCCTAGATAATTCAAAGTGAAAAATTTTAATATTTTTGTCATAGCTTCACATGGTAGTAGTTACTACTACTTCATGGTCGTAGTTACAGACCACAGGAGACAGCAGTAACTGGGCTATTGGCTCGTTGCCCAAAAGGCAGAGTATTTGCCCGTGTGCTGGTAGATCCAGACTTAATCCTTTCCTTACCTGACTGAGAGCAGAGATGCGGCATGAAGTGTTCTTCACTGCCTGCAGGCGCCCAGAATCTGAAATAAATACATCAGTTTTCTTATGTAGTTCAATTTCGCTGGTTGAAAAGTTGTGCTCTCTGTAAAGCACTTAAGTGTCAACTGGAACAATTTCACTCCGTGGAGGGAAATTGAAAGGAGCCTACCCAAGAGCTCTTGCAGCTTCGCCTTGCGGATACAGCGTTCTCTTGTGAAGTGGGTCACAGCAGTCCAAGCTCCTCTCTGGTTTTGGTCAGGAGGACATCTGAACTAGGGCCTTCCATATGCCAAGTAAACAGTCAGCCACCGATCAATAAGATATTAGATAGGAAGCACTCACCCATTCTGCTTAATGATTTTTGTTCTTCCTATTAAAAATGCATAAACTAACTCTTCTCTTTTAGGGATTGGGTTTTTTTAATCTCCAGGACCTTGCTATTGTACTCCTTTCCCCCCAAACACTCCAGCATTTATTTACACAGCTCTAAACAACAGTGACTTTCTATTAAATTAAAAAGTAATTAGGAGCTGTAAGGATTGGATTCTTACACTGTAAGAGTGATATCAGGAAAAGGGATATTTTCAGCAGTTATACTATGGCATTACAATCACACTCTCAGTGTTCTGTGCTTCTGGCAGGCTATGTATCACTGCAACTTAAATTGTCAGGCTGTAGTCAGACATGCTTCTCCGACTGCAGGTGAGCCAGGTTAACAAGTTCGTGCTCTCAGCTGCTCACTATGAGCTTCCCAGCAAGATGTTATTGCCCCCTCAGGTATATTGGCATAACTGCATGTGTAGCACTCCTTTATTCAGCTCCATAAAAAAACAAGGCCGTGAGCTTTATGGTCTTTAATAGTGCAGGTTTGGAAAAAAAAAAAAAAAAAACAGCTGATTTGGATGGAAGTCTGTTAGGGAGCAGCTACAGATGCAGTTTTGATGTTGGCAGGTCTGAAGAGCGATGGTTTTGGCAGCGGGCAGAGATGAGCCACAGCAGGGTGGCAGCTGCAACGCCTTGCTAAGCTGAAGTCAGAATAGTGTCTCTACGCACAGCATTAAATTAATGCTAAGTGAGTAAGCATTGTTGGAGTAATAAGCATTAGTAAGCATAGCTGGAGAAGGAAAGTCTCACATAGACCTAAAATCTTTATTTCAATAAACTTTTAGGTATCATGGAGCCCTGCCCCTGTCCCCACACTCATTTGTTTGGCATACAAAAGTAAGGCAGAAAAGTGCAATGTAATAAGCAGTCTTTCTGGGAAATCAAAGCAGGCATTAAAATGGAGCATTCTGTAGTCTTTGCCAGTCTAGCCTGGGTGCTATCTTGCAGCTCTTCTCAGATTGCGAGCTCTGATTTCCGAGAGACGATGGAAAGAGAGGAGGAGTACATTTTTCAGCAGGTCTGACCTGGGATTCAGTCCTGAGGGAGAGAGTATTCTGTCCCATGCCAAGAGATGTACTTAAGTATGCATTTAGAATTAAGCATAAAAGCAGTCTGTGTCCTTAAACTGCACTGTGTGTTTAAATGAATATATGCATGTTGGCCCAAGGACAGAGATTAGCACCTTGAAGTATCAAGTCTGTAACGCTGTGCAGCCTCTTTATTAACAAGTATTTCATTGGCAGGTATGTGTGAATATATGTCATGTGTAAAATGCCATATACCTAATTTATGAGCAGATGTTTACAAAGTAATATCACAATTAAATGTAAATGAAAGGAGTAGAGGGGCTGGATTCCATATTTCTTTTTCACCCAAATGGGACGCTGTAACTCTACAAAGTCAGAACAAGATACTGCCTTGTATATTGCTGCACATGGAAATAAGAACCAGCACAAAGTATTGCACTTGAATAAGGAAATGTTTTCCTCCGATCTGGCAGCACATCAACTTTATGTCCTTCAGGGAGCATGAACATAAGACAGGATGTTTGTCTTAGGTAAAGAAGCTCTGCAGGGGTTTATTGTTTGCATTGTTAGTGCCATGGATATATTAAGAAACACTGTTAATCAACTTTATTTCCAAAGCATGTCAAGTTATATTGGTAGTGAGTGGCAATGCAGCGAGAGAGAGAGAAGTATGTGTTTCTTTCCATTGACTGTAGCAGGCCTTGGTTCCCTTACTCTCCAGAGGATTTTGGCTTAGGCCTTAGCTTCAAAACCCTAAAATTGACTGAGGAACCATCAGTGTGACTGTTAAATGTTCATGTGGTTTGTATTTTGTTCTGTGTTTTTAAACAGCGTCTGCGTTTGGTCACAGCTGTTAGAGAAGAGGTAGGGCCTAGCCTCTTTGCTGTAATGATTGCTCAGAAAGGTCATACATGCTTATTGGACAAGTGGAAGTAATGAGACAAATGGGGAGGGAAGGGAGAGCTGACGTTTTTTAGTCAACTTTTGCCTCTTCCCACTTCTTCCAAGTCATAATGGGTCCTGATGCACACTGATTTGGGTTTGGGGTTTTGCCTTTATCACCAAAGGAAAAAGGTCTTTGTCAGACTTGTGTTCATGCCTAAATTTCTCTATGGGAAGGGGAAGTATCAGATATTGGCAGTGATCATTTACAATAATCTATCAAAATACATGTAATCTTTATGTATCATGCTTTTTCATAGATACAAGAATTCTCTTCTGGTTTCTGGACTGGTTCACAGCTTGCATGCTGGGATAAAACTGAAAGACCCTGGTCCTTATTTCCCAAACTTTCCATTTACCTGAGGGATGAAAACTCCAGTAGGTCGTTTCGGATCTCTGTCCTACCACAGGTCTCAACTTTCTTTGTGTTTTCAGTTATGCATTTGTTTTTACTATTATAAGAGGGCATGCTCTTACAAAACAGGAGCTATTTTTAACAATAATAGAGAATTGGCTTATGTCTGGATGTGAGGGAAAAAAGTTTAATGCATTTTAAAAAATTAAACTTGGAATGGGAAAAATGACAAAGAAACTTACGTGCTAAAAAAAGCCCTGCCACCTGAAAGCAAAAAGAAAAACATAGACTCCGTTTGAGTGCAATCTATGTAGTTCTGAATGAATTCTTCAGACTATCAGCAAAAAAAGCCCTACAAGTTTATATTATGTTTTTCTTGAAGTTTTAGCTACATTAGATGTTGATATGCAGTGTCTCTGCTCATTTTGCTCTTCTCATTTTGGAAGCAAATTGATTTGTTTTCATGGTATTGTGAATTGGAGCACTTTTCCTGAAAATGACACTCAGCAATGAGGCTGTGTGAGCTCTTCAGCAGTGTCTACAACTTGCTTGGTTTCTCTTTTATTAACATTCCCTCCCAGCTTTTAGAATATAATGTGCCACTTTCATTTCTGCTCTCTGGCTTTTTTCCCCAATATAAGTTGCAATACAGGCAACCTGTCCTTTAACATCACTATTACAATCTTTTACCTCGGGGGATGTTCAGGAGCAAAGCGGAGAATGAACCTCTTAAGTACATTTTAGCTTGAAATATAGTAAAGCCTTATGATAAGCTTTTTCTGTATTGATCATATAGTTGTCAATCTTCATCTTCTCTGAGGAGAAAAAGGGTAAAATGTGACTTGAATTTATGAACCTGGAGCCTTAAAGCTGACAGTGAACGCTCTCCAAATCCATTGTATCCTGATAGTTATTTAAATATTTCTCTAATTTGTGTTCACATCTAAAGTTCACATCTTAATCCTTTCTCCCCTTATGGAATATACAGTAAAAAATGGCTTTCATGAATTTGAAGGTGACCTTTATATAGCGACGGATTGTGTTCAAATTTAAGCTTAGACTCCCTGAGCTTTACCTCTTGCCTGCACTTAAACTTTGACCAGCTTAAAATAACGTATGGAAGTCCTTCTGCCCCTGTTCATTCTTTATTTCCAGTGGAATTTGAGCGATTGAATTTAAAAATCAAAAGCACTGGAGTTCTCTCTGAACTGTCATCTTCTAAGTACTGAATTTTCCTGGATCTTACTCTCTGGCTTCTTTTTTTTTTTTTTAATTAATAGCTTTATATTCAACCCATTCTTGGGATTGGAGAGAATCTACAGTGCTACAGATTTGGTATCTCTTCCTCCACGAATGCCCTAGTTATTGGTGCTACAGTCATGGAAGGCTTCTATGTAATATTTGACAGAGCTCAGAGGAGAGTGGGCTTTGCAGTGAGTCCATGTGCAGGTAAGAGAAATATTGTCCTGGACTAGTGAGTCAGGAAACACTTGCCACTCTCAAAAGAACAGCTTTGTCCCTTACCTAATAGGGAAAAGTGTGGTTATTAATGAAGTGCAAAGAGGATATTTGTGAGCAAACTGTTCAGACTTCAAGGGGAGAAGAAAAAAAGAGGTATAATTGCACTCTACTATCTTTTGGTGTAAAGTAAATCAACTTTAACTTTGAAAATTTTAACTGCATTCTTTCCCTGAGAGAATGTCTTCTTTCTGAGATGTATGTCTGTATGTGCGGTTTCCCCAACACAGTTATAGGAGTGTCTCTGTCTTAATGCAGCTTCATTTTGTGCATTCCTGTTCTAGTTTGCAGATGAATGGATTCTTCAACTAACTTTTGCAATGTGTAGTGAAAATACCATACTAAAGCTTTTTCTCTAAATGTAAATTGTGCCTTTTTGGCCTTTCAGAAATACTCAAAAAAAAGAAAAGATGAAAATGGGACTCAGATTTAGACTTGTGATGGTTTTTTTGTCTCTAAACAAGTAGTCTTCTCAGTATGAGTAGAAAAGTCATTATCTTTTTGATTAGCTGCTGAGCAAATGTGAAAAAAAACTGATAATTTTTGGTATGAGAAGTGGTTAGCAAGGAAGGGCTGCATGCTTTGTTATACTTCTAGAATGCACTTTGAAAGTGTAAAACAAAATCCATGATAGACCGTTTGGTAATCGGTAGCAGCAGTTTATATCATCTAATCCAGTGATTCCTCATCCTTTTGTGTCAAACTCACAACATGCAAATTGTGCAGTTGATCTCCATGGATGTCTGGAGTTGCCAGTGAGAGAGAGAGGCTAGTCAGAGCTACTTTATTTGTGCATTACTATCTGACTTGAAAGGACTGAAAATCACAAATACAGAAGGTTTTAGGGAATCCATGGTATTTCAAATGAGAAAGAGAAATGTGTCTGGGAAAACACAAATTTTATGGCTGAGGAAAAGAATTTGGGGAGGGGCAGCTGTTGTTTGTAGCAGGGCGTGTTCTTTAACTCTCAACTATGTGGACGCTTTGGGACCACAGCGGGCTTTAAGTTGCACAGCCCTGAACCCCCACAGTGCCTCAGAGCTCGGACCGCAGAGAGTGCCCAGGTTGTCTCTACATCATATTCCCAGTACTCTGAGAAAATGAATTAGCTTGGACACAGCGCTGTACTAGTGCTCAAGTTAATAAACATTCTACCTGCTCTGGCCTGAAGCTACCACCAGCACTGTTGCTACCATCTACATGTCCTTGATCTACTGCTGCCACCTTCTTGCTCACTCATTTCTCCTGTTTTTCCTCCTTACTTCTCCCTTTTAGTCCCTGCATCACTGATGCACAGCCCACGCAAGTATACTTGGGTGGACTGAATTGACTGCTGAGGGCCACTTGACTCTATACTCCATGATCAGCAAAGGAATGTGGAACAGATGCCTCTGTAGCATCCCTGCACACAACTAGCACAAGCTCCAGCAGCACTTGTTAGATTGGGCTTTGTACTGCAACCACCTCATCTGTCAGGCTTGCATATTGCTGCTTAGGAAGCAAGAATCAAATCGTGGTCTGTCAGAGTCCTACCAATCAAACAAGCACTATGGCCTCTCAAGGACCGCCTTTGTTTCACAGTGCTGGTTAGCTGTCTTGCTTTTTCACGGTATGTCTTGTTTCACCAAGGATAGCTAAAAGCAAATAAAAGTTTGGGGGTTTTGTCCCCTTGCTGATGAGTCATGGCTATGGCACCACAAGAACATTTTGGAATCCAAACGGGAGTGGAGGAAAGGTAGTATACCCACGTGCAAGTCTCTGTCCCAAATGGAGAAATGTTCTCTGCCCTGGAAAACATTGTAGTATCAGAGACTTGCCATGAGAAAAAAAGCAAGACTGCAATGGTTCTTTAATCCCTAATATTTATGTTGGAGAAGGTGAGGGTAGTAAGTAGTTGCGTGCTTAATGCAGCTAGGTAATTGAGCATAAGAACAGAGATACTAGCTAGCTCAGTTGCAGCCCCAAGGCATTTTAAAAGCCTTTTAAAATGAAAAAATAAAAAATCTCTCCATCATTAACAGGTTCAGAATTTTGTCTTTAAGCTTGCTAAGAAAAAAAATTCTGGATATTGATGTGGGTTGCTTAATGAAAACCTTTATAAGATGTCCTGCAGTGACGAAAGACACATTTTGAGTGCTTTTGGAAGGACAGAGGATGTAACTTGACAGATACTGCAAATCAGGTTTTCCTGTCTGTCATTCTTCCATTTGCTTCCTGACTGCAATTTTAGCAAGCCTGGAGCTGCCTCCTGCCACTGCCACGCTGCAGCTGTTGAGGGAGAGGGGAAGGGACACTCTGACACAACATGCTGACTGACATGGTCAGCAGGAGGCTCTAGCCAGCTCGTGCTGATAAGAACTGCTCTGAAAGTGTGTCTTTGAGACAAAGTCAGGGAACCATAATTACACCTTAATGATAATGTCACCATATAGAAGCCTAGACTTCTGCAACTTCATTTAGTTCTACACAATCTTCCAGACAGGAAGAACTGGGCTCAACTAGAAATGAAATCTGCATTTACGTTCGCTTGGACACATCATAATTCCCAGCTAGTGTCAGAAGTCATTTTCTTCTTGTTTCTTTGTCCATGTTCTGTGCATATGTCTAACTTCTGTCATGGGAACACAGCTTCTCAAGAAATCAGGTGATATAAGACACTGACTGAGACAAGATATTATACTGATTTGTCAGACTTTATTCACATGGGGCAGGTGATGTTTTGCTGGATGTGCCAGTTATTCTGAATTCACTTCTTCACAGCTTGTAGTTTCCATATTTAACGCTGCTTTCATCAGAAAGCCACAACTATCAGTGGTTAGCAGTCAGGGCAGTGTGAAGGATTAAGCTGCCTAACTGGCTTCCTGTGGAGACCAGCCATGTCCTCCATAGCAACTATATTAATGAAATTTATTTGGATCTTTTTAGTCTGTTCGTGGGCTTAAATTAAATTGAATCACTAGTGACATAAATCTTCAGAAATAGAGAAATATAAAAGGCTATTTGCTGTGTCTCTGTTTCTGTGTAACGACCTGTGCTTTCTTGTTTACAACAGAATGTTAAAATTGAATTTAAGCCCAGGCTTTTATAAGATGTTAAATAGGTATGTGCTGAATACAAAAATGGCAGGAACAGGACCAAACCCTTAACTTCACCGAACCCCAAGTTTCTGTTGAGACTTGACTAGAGATAAGAAATAACTTATCCCTGCAATCCTCCCGTACCGTTTTAGTTCTCCAGCACATACCCAGACCTGAAGACTGAGGAGACTTAGGCAGAAGGCTGCATGAAGCTTTTCAGTTGTTGCAAGAAGAGAAATTTGGTTTTGCTCGATAGATGAAGCCCTGTAAAACTTGTTCTGCCTGCTGCTAATTTCAAATTGTTTCAAATTACCTGTTGCTGTTAATTGCAGGTGTAATGTACTTTTTACAGAGTGACTGGGAAAGGTTTTGGATTAAGTCCCTACTTGAGACTAGATGTTTAAATCACTATAATATTAGAGATGCAACCTAGTGGTACCTCAGCATTGAGAAGGATTATATCCCTAATATTTTTATAGTAATGAGAAGATGCTGGGATTAAGACTTGGATGATTTTCAGGGAAGAAATGTGCCAAGCAGTATCATCATAGATTACTTCTACAGCTTTTTGAACAAAAATATGATGAGACAGAATGCACTCTCAGCGAACTTGTGGGCACTAAACTAGGGAAAATGGCTGGCGTGATGAACCACAGAGCTTCAGTTCAGAAGTACCTTGATAAACTTGAGGACTGGGCAACAGAAACCTCATGAGGTTCAGTGAACAAAAGTGCAAAGTTCTGCATCCTGGACAGAACATCGCCGTGTTCTGGTACAGTTTGGGAAGGGACCAGCTGAATGGCAGCCGTGCAGAAAAAGACCTGGGGGTTATGGTAGGCCCCAAGTTAAATGCAAGCCAACAGCGAAGACAAGCCAAATACTGTAACAAGGGGTAGCATCCAAAAGTTACACTTTAGGAGGTTCAGGTTGGATATTAGGAAATTCTTCTTCCTCGGAAGTGTGCTACAGCACTGAAACAGGTTGCCAAGAGAGATCATAGATTCTACATCCTTGGAGGTTCACAAGACTTGCCTGGACAAAGCCACGGCTGACTCTTGGTGACAGTCCTGCTCTGAGTAGGAGATGGGACTAGATGACTTGCAGAGGTCCCTGCCAAGCGGCACTTTACAATTCTATGATAAATTTGATCTGTTTGCTTCCTTTTCAAACCACCCAAGATAGTGAGTGAGCGTGTGTTTGGTCTTTCCAGCTTTGAGCTTCTACACAAATGTTATAGCCTTTTCCCAGAAGTGCCATCTTTGTCCTGTAGTCATCAATAATGAAGAAAAGCCCATTTATTCAAGGTCAAGATTTCATTGTAGGTAGCTACTACAAGATGTTCTAATTAAAACAAAAGGCAATACCTCAATTCAGCTAATGTGTATTAGTCAAAATGTGTGACTGTTAGTTTGTTAAGGGTTTGTTTGAACAATTTAAGCAAATTTCCCCTCTCTTTATTTCCTTGCAATTTCTCTGGAGGTGGAGGAGGATGAGGGAACACTTTTATTTTTGGAGGGAAGAAAGCAGAGGCTATGCTGCTGTCAAGTATTCTGAAAATGTAATTTAAAATGTCAGCCACTATAGCAACAATTTTGAATTGCCTTTTTTAATAGGAGTAATTATTGTACTTAAGCCAAATACTGAGCAATTAGGGACTGTTTATTTTCAAAGGTATCTGCAAGGAGGAAAATTGTGCTGCTTTTTTTTTTTCACTTCTTCAAAATACTGAATTCCTAAGTAGCAATATTTATGCCTTGCATTTCACATTAGTATTAAATGTGCTTTAGTTTGTTTTTTGCTGCAGGACTTCATAGAGACAGAAGAAATAGTGTGTGTGGGGGGGTGATATTTCCAGGGGAAATAATTGCACAGTAGACAAAGTGCACTACTGAGACTCTGAACAAAAGCGTTTTCGTTTTTGTCTCTGCCACAGGCCTGCTAGGTAGTCTTTTACAACTCTGTCCACCGCTGTGCAGCTCACTTTCCATGTCTACGTAACAGCAGTGTCTTTTGCAAAGATCTGCTGATGCGATAGGGTTCATGGGCCAGTTCATTGCAATGCGACGAGCTGAAAGAAGATAGGCTTTTTACTCACCAATGCTAGAATGCTTGTGGTGCAGTCCCAGCTTTCACCCAGCCCGCTCTAACGGTGCATTGCTGCTGAAAGAAGTGTTCCCACACTTGCAGCTGGAGGGTGAGTTGGTTCAGTGAGCGATCGAACAGAAAATTCTTTGTTCCGGCATTTGTTTATTTTGACAGGTTACTTTTCCATCAGATGAGTGAGCTGCCCTGACTTTCCTTGCAGCCTACCATCACTAGAACCAATACCAGAGGCAGTGAGGGAGAGCAGGACTGCCCCTTTAAGCGGCAGCCCATGATTAAATTGAGTTAAGTCTAATGAGACTTAAACCTTTAAATAATATGAGGTCATGAAACAAGGAGGCCAGGAAGAAATGAACAGCAACTAAAATCTTTCCAAATAAACTGTGAATAAAGCAGCCTACCTATTCTGCCTTTGTCTCTCTGCAGAGAACGTTAAAGGCGTCCTTCCTGCCTTCCCAAAACCCAAACTACCCTCCTCCATCAAGAAAATGTATTTTGTGCAATTTTTAAATGTGCTTCCAGGAATCTTGTCTAAGCAATGTGTAAATAAGATATTGTTTTCAGTAAGGCAGCGTCATGTGTGTGTGTGTGTGTGAGTATAAAATGAACTGTGTATAACATGAAATGAAGTAGGGAGGTTAAAACTGAGGCCTTCTGTAAGAAATACACAAATGTGCCCTGGAGTATTTGACTAGAGAAGTAAATTAAAGGTGTTTGGAAGAATATTTGTTAAAATGCACCGACAGTACTAACTGCAGGCTCCTCGTTGCCCTGAGCAAGCTAAAAGATACCCGTCCTTCCCCTGCCACAGTCCTGCAGATATGAAATGCTCTGAATATTTTGTTGCCCTAGGCAACCCACCTGTTCTGCCTTTGCAATACAGATAGCCCTGTCCACAACTCAGGGGAACTTTGCTGTGCCTGCCATGGTTACTCTGACAACCATGGGCAGCATAACCCTTCTGAGCAAGTGCTGGTTTAACAAGTACGGGTTTGTGATGGCAGTGAAACAGGTCTCAGAGTCTGTGATGTTACCAGGATGGATGGCTATTCAAAACAGAGCCGCCCAGGCACTCTCTCTTGCTTATTGCTTTCGCTGTATCACTCCCGTCTTTTTGAGCTGCTCGGTTAGCTTCTCCCTCCCTGCCCTACGGCACTGCTTCTTGGTGTCCCAGCTTCTCACAGCTGCTGTAGAACTTCATCTCCACCGTTGCCCTTTTCTGTACGCTTGTCACCTGGCTCTCCTACTTTCTCATCTTCTTTCTGAACTCTCACCTCCGCAGTCCCGCTCCCAAGAGTATCTGTGGTCCTTTCCGCTCTGCCCCTTATGCACAGGACATGGTTCCTTGAGGTATATGGAAACTAATGAACGTGCATGTTGCTCCCTAAGGCCTGCTTTGGGAGGTAGCAGCTACAGCGGATGTAGAAATTGTGTGAGGTGCTTTTCCAGTTGTTGCAAATGTCAGAAACGACAGAAACTCCACGGGCCCTGAATTACTGCAGTGGATTGGTATTGTAAGATTTTTGTAAGTCTTGTTAAACTGTGATTCCTGAAAAGTTATTCCCAAAAGAAAAGGTGATGTAGTGGCTTTGGCTTTAACTTGTGCTATAGGAGACGTGAGTTCAATTTCTGCTCTCCCATTGACAGCCTATATGGATATGGGAGTATCATGGTCTCCCTGTGCCTCAGGTTCTTATTTTATGAATATGCGATACTAGTATTTTTATTGCGGCGAGAAATACATTAAAAATGAGTATGCCGAGATGTATGATGATGGAGGGGATTGGGATATATAGGTATCTAGGCTAAATTTTTTTTTTACTGGCCTTTAAATGGTATGTATGGCCTTACTGTTTCTCTCTATGTGATTTCTCAGAAGTCGGTGGCTCTCCAGTATCTGAGATTGAAGGCCCTTTCACAACAGCAGATGTTGCAAGCAACTGCGTTTCTAGCGTTTCTTTCCATGAACCAGTGTTGTGGATCGCCTCCTACGCTCTCATGAGCTTGTGCGGAATTATCCTCCTGGTACTGATCATCCTACTGCTTATTCCACCGCGGTGTCAGCACCGCTACACTGACAATGATGTGGTCAATGACGAATCCTCCTTAGTGCGTCATCGATGGAAATGAGAAACTTGATCACGAAACCTGGAACTTAAATACAATGAAGAATAAAGTACTTTGCCAAGGAGAAGAAGCCAACACCTCAGTCCTTTCTACATCCATTACAAACTGCTGTTGTAATCCCTCCAAATATCCTGCATCATGATTTTTTAAGCTTTATTTTCTAACACTGATTCTGAACCAAAGCACTATTAACCACCTCTTAAGTGCTACTGTACTGGATTTGCTACTGTAGTACAATGAGCCTTTATGCTCTCATTGGTACCTTCTTTTTTAAAAAAAGGAAAAGAACAAAACACACCATGATGTTCTTCCACTATCTGAACAAAATTATCCTTCCCTCTTTCACAAAAAAGGAGCTGTCAAAAGTTTCTAACTAATCAAGCCTTGAATGTAGAAAAAGAGAGAAAAAGTATAAATTTTAATAATTCCTCTTCTTAATCACATTAAATGAATTCAGTTTTGTGTTTATATCAGTTCATTTTGAAACTGTGCTCATGGTGCAGGGGAGGGGGAAAGGTCAGACTTATGCAGCAGATGGATACAAGTGAGGTCAAGAAGAAGAAATGTTGAATTTTTTTTCCCTCCCCCCTCAAGATTACTGCTGCCACTTGAGAGGGTCACCGTTCCTGAGCATCGTTCCAAAAGAGTCTGAGGAGGGGAAAACAGGGGAAAAAACTTGTTCAGCCTTAGTGTAAAACAAGACTACCTCTCAACTTACAAGGATGCTTACCACTGGCAAGCATGTGACTTAGAACTGGTCTTAAAACACAGGAAATTCCTTATGACAAAGTGTAACTCCTTGGCTTCTGGTAGTTGATTTTATCAAACTAATGTTTCATAACTTTCCATTTCGATGAAGAAAAAAAGCTTCTCAGTTTTCCACCAAGTATTTTTTTTAAGTCCGTGCTTTACCACCTCTTTTGGTATTTCTAGTGAGCATGTAATAAAATGAGAAAGACAACCCATTTTTTTGCTGAGCCCAGCAGCCTGAAAATTTAAGGGATAAAGTACCTCTTTTCTTGGATAAACTGTGAAGTGAAAACCTTAACGCTGGTTTGTTTTTAAACTTGAACAGCAGTTGGAGGTTTTTAGCTTAGCTTCACTGGTGTGTCCAACAAATGGAAAGTGTTTGTAAGGACTGGTTGGGAGTGCTGTCTGAAAACACGGATAGTGTAAGACTAAAAACAATAGTGGGAGGGACCAGGGAGGAATATATATGAGCAGACCTCCTTTGTGCAAGCACAGATCTTAATGCTGCGGTCAAAACATGGCATTTTCTTTGCAGACTGAGCATATTTTCTTATATCTAGTCAGTCAGAGTTACAGGACCTCCATTGTTTTTCTGAAACCCTGCATAATGAGTTTGAAAGCAATGCAAGGTTGAGAAGTCCCGTAATAACTACTGTATTTTCACACTCAAAACGCATGAGTTATCTCTTTAAAAAATAACTGAAAAAAATTCCTTTGCATTTCAGTAGCAGAGCAGTTTACACATCTGTGTGGGTAACAAAACAAGCAGTTTAGCTCAGAATACCAGACCTCCTTCCAGTTCACACTGCCTCTGCTTCTGACTTTGCATGGAATACCCAAAGATTTCTTTTTCGATAATAGTGCTTTTAAAGAGGTGCATATAACATGTGTGAAAATAAAGCACTGTTTTTTAACGAACTTGTGCATTTCACTTCATGACTGGAAGTGCCTGTAAAGAATGTTTTTGTTATTCTTTCCTTTTTAATTCCTGCACTTTCAGATTGCTTGGCTGGACAGAATGAAAGGATTGGTGTTTTGACTCAACATCAGGAAATGTCTTTTCTTGTAATTAGGAGTTGGAAATAGGAGGAAATTTTTAAGTTTTCCTCCTTCTTCCCCTGCCTTTTAGTTTTTAAGGGGAGAAAAACAATTAACTCATGGACTGTAAGAAACTATATAGCTTAATTGTTTTTCCCCTGTATCTTCCATATGTCTTTTTCTTAATGTCTTTGTAAGTAGAATTTTTAGTACTGTTTATAACACTGTTTTTATCACTGTAAACCTACCTTTCTTTTTCTCCTGTTGTCATATCACTTGTTAGTTCTGAGACTCACTTGATTAATATTCCTTTTTTTCCCCTAAGGTGGGAAGTGGGGGGAAACTCTAATTCTGAGGGTGTCCTCAGGTGAACTGAGTGATAAATGTGTCATTCACATTGTGGTATTTTCACCCCATGATGCAACTTAAACTTTTGAATGTTTTCTCAATTGTATGAAGCGATAATAAAATCCAGCAAGGGATTGTCAGAGATGCAGAGCATTCACTGCCTCCCCATTCATTTCAGCTGGTACTGTGGGTGCTCACTGCTCGTTATAATTGGTAGCCCATACGTGTTGAAATGGGTTGTCACTATTGTGTCAAAACATTTATAAAAAAAAAAGTTCCTTTGAGTTGTTCTCAAAGCAATAGGCTTTGCTTTGCAAAGAGTGATGTTCCCAGTTCTGTGAGTCAGTTCCATATAGTCCTCCTAGGTTTGGTTTGACATGTACCAAACCATTTCAAAGTTGCATTCTTTTTTCTATAGTATATAAGTAATGCTTTTGTCACCCATTTTAAACACAAATACATTATCAGTGTTTAGACTGATACAGTGGCAAAGAATGACACCCCTTTTCTTCAATTCAGAAGGTAATAACAGTTGTATCCTCTTGAAATATTTGAGAGCTACTTCCCTCTCCTCCGTTCTGTCTTCTTATCAGAAAGAGTTTTAGGACAGAGTTTATTGGGAAAGGTTCCTGTTGTGCTTCCTAGTGACAAGCTAGATTTCTTCTAAGTTGTTTAATGAAGTCTTCTTAATGTACTAGATTTCAGATAAACGTCTTTCAGTTTTACCCTTTCATTTGCATGTCATCGGTCAAGACATTTTAACAGAAGTACTTCAATTATGTGAGCAATAATCAAGTAGCATACATGAAATAGTAATATATTCCTGAGTTTTCAAAGCATCCCTTGCTACTAAGATTTGGCTTATAGTAAAAATGCTGTTAGTGGCATCTGCTAGCAGCACAAACTTCATCTCAGCTTGTAAATTGATACTTACAGTGGCAGATATTCAGGTGAGTATTGCTTTGTTGCTCTGGCAACAAGAAGAGCAATAGAAACCCTTGAGGGTTCATTTTTAGCCTACAGCACATTAAGAAAAATAATGCTCTTGAGCATTTTTCTGTGAAAGATGAAATGCAATGACAAACTACAGTGTTACCAAGTGTGTCTTATTAGTGATCTCTTTCCCTGATGTTTGTTAAAGGAGAGTGCTATGAGGTATTTTATACTCCTGTCAACTAATTTCAGAGATGAGAGTAAACCATGCCTTAAAAAACAGAGCTTTGGGTAAAGATGGTGTTGGAAAATATTCTCTATTTGTTATGGAAGACAGGATACTCCCACCACAATACTCCCATTGCTTGTATACATACTAACGTTTGTTGCAGCGCTACCGTTCTCCTAATGTGAATGTCATATCATGTACCATGAAAATGTCAGAAAGCCATGTTTCATTGGATGCTGCTGCTTAGATAATTGATACTATCAGTTCAATCATAAGGGATGTGGAGCTCTGTCATTTGAGTTCAAGTAGTTTAAACTTCAATTCAAGCATGGGCATGTGTTAGTTCTATCCTACTGCACTGTCACAGGTTTTAGAAATCTTACAGGCTTTTTGGCTCAATTTAAGTGCTGAAGAAAACAGATAAAGAATTTTTATAAGCCTTTGTTTCAGGTTCTGTAAAAGAAGTTAGATCAAGGGATTGTTCTGTTTTTGAGGTGAAATGGCTGATATTTAGCATTTGTATGTTGGACCAACTTAAATGCAATATAGCAAGGCAATGCACCATTACAGTTTGCAGCTTTGATGTTGTGCAGGTTAAGTAGTGGTAATCACAGAGCTATTGTTTTTGGTATCTCTTGTTAAAATATCAATTACTTAATGATATTTAACTGTTTATTGGCTGAAGTCAAAAATGGGGGTATTCTACCCAGCTACTTACAGTGTTATCAGTTGGTTATGTTTCACTAAAAGGAAGAGTCACTTGGATACTAACCTTTCCCTTTCAGATAAGGAAAGGCTTATGTTATGATGGTTGCTTATGACAACTTTTTCAAAGAGAGAGTGGATCTTAAGTTTTCTTATAATCCAGAATGATTGGGCTGTTTAAATGTTCTTTGATTTCTGTAGAAGTTTTCAACAACTAGGTTGGTTCATTGTCTTATCCTGACCTTAGATCTTCCATAATAATGATGGTTGGTGCAATATCCTGTTCAGGTGAAATGAAATGAAGTAAAGGAAAACAAGCAAGCTACCCATAACTCTACTTAATTAAGAAATATAAGAGCGTAACTGATTGAGCCTTTTAAAAAAGGTCTGTACAATTTACCAAGACATTAGTTGCTGTCAAACTTGACTGGTTGATAAATTGTTCATTTCTGGCTGCTGAAATTCTTGCTGCTTTTCAGAGAAGTGAAAGCAGATTGGCAATGGTATACAAGCAATCTTCTGAGCCAGTTAGAGTTCCTGGCTTCCAGACCCTAATTAGAAATTAGGTCTAGGCTTGCAAGTAATCCAGAGTGCTGGTAAGGGCTCTTCAGGAATCTCATCGGAAATCCAGTTGTTGGCTTCAGCCAAACCCCTGGATGAGATGGATCCAAACTACAAAAGCTACTGTTGTAATATGCAATGACAGAGGGGCTAAGGTGAGCTGAAGCTGACCAGTTGTGTGAAACACAAGAGATACTGAGTAACTGAGTTTCTGCCAATCTTCGAGGTCGATGCTGAGACACCTTGGTAGAGCAGAATTGGAGAGCAACTGCAGTTGCTGAAAAGCTGCTATAAGTGCACGTATGTGAATTTGTCACCTGGCTGCTTTGGTAGGATTCACTTGTTTGAATATTTTGAAAGCAAGTGTACTCTAAGGTGCCTATTACTGCTGCTGGGAATATCCACTCACATGTGAATTAGGGGCATAATCATCTCTTAAGTAGAATTACTAGACATCTACTGAATGAATATTTGTTGTATGGTCATTGTTCCCTCTCCATGTAACAAAGTGTATAGTGTTATTTTTCACCCCTAGCAATAGTCTATTTGTAAACAAAAAACCAGGTTATTTTAAAACATGTTAATGTTAGTTACTGTACAGTAATAATACAAGAATGTTTTGTGTTCACTTTTTTTTTTTTCACTGCAGCTAGGCTTTGGCTGGATTTCAGTGGTTAGGTAGTTTTTGAAATACTGAAAAATTTACATTAAAATATAAAATGGACCTGCAGGTTTTTTTTTTTAAGCTAGCCAAACAGTAGAACACAGAAGGTAATTCTCTTCATCTAAAGGAAGTAGCCCTCACTAAATGTTGTCTTTTTTTTTAGTTGATGATACTCGCGGTCAACATATTTGATTATAGTTGTTGTCCTAATTCACTAGCTTTGAACCTTCAGATTTTCTG